CCCAGGTGATCCTGAGGACACAGATAAACCTCCAAGTGGCCTCAATGACTCTCTAAAAAGGATGCAAATGACCAGCTGTCTTTAAGGAGTATAAATCCTTCCATTTCCCACCATCCAGTCAGAGCTGAAGAAGCTTCTTGGATTAGAAGCAAAAGAGCTGAAGAAGCTTCTTGGATGAGAAGTGAAATGTCTTCAAAGCAAAAACTAGAAAGTCCAGGTGCCTCCTGAAAAAGCCCCTTTAGTGACCTGGAGGACTGAGAATCTCCATAAACATTTAGCTATGCACTTTGGAATGAACACCCTTTGAATGGTATGCATGTATGAACGGATTTCCAGAAAAAAAATGCAGACTACAGGAACCATTTGCACTTCAGTTTCAGATACAGACAATATGGACTCATCCCCAACAGCCTGCACCTGTCTTCAACAGTGAAGGGAGGCAGGGCAGAAAACATTCTGCAGCCAAGAAGCCTCCACACCCATTTGCAGGTGATCCTGAGGACACAGATAAACCTCCAAGTGGCCTCAATGACTCTCTAAAAAGGATGCAAATGACCAGCTGTCTCAAGGAATATAAATCCTTCCATTCCCCACCATCCAGTCAGAGCTGAAGAAGCTTCTTGGATATGAAGTGAAACCTCTTCAAACAAAGAATAAGAAAGTTCGGTTGCCTCTTGAAAAAGCACCTTTGGGTCAACCATGACCTGGATGACTGAGAATCTCCATGGATTGTTTTCCATTGGTAGCCTTTGCTATGTTAAATTTCTCACTTGAGGAATTGGCTTCTTCCATGGATGTGCCTTTGTTCTTTCTTCAGAAAGCGTCTCAAGGAATTTTTAATTGATTAAGAAAAGGAGGCGAATATTTCTGTTAGCGGCCACCGATGATTCCGGGAGCATGTGATTAACTCATCTGGAATGGCGATTGAGGTTAGCTTCAGTGATAGATTATTGGGCTGAAAGCAATGAATAATCCTCCATTCCTAGATGCGATATGGCCCCTCTGATCTCTCCCCTAAGGTTTGTAGTTTCGTATCAATAATATAATTCACACATTTCATTATAAAGAAACCTTAATCCATTTCTCCTCTGGTTCTTATGTATGCGTTACTTTTTCCCCCTGTGGTGTCTTCATGAATGGCTAACCTTTTTCTAAAGGTGTGCCAAAATTGTCTCTGCGCGCTATCAAACGTACATGCGTTTCCACCCACCTGTGCATGCACACCTGACCCCCATGCATGCATGACCCCCCCATGCAGGGGGGAGTTTTTGGAGCGGCCCCGGCTGTGAGACAAGGCAGCGCTTAAAGCAGCCGCTGCCACTTGTCTCACAGCCGGGGCCACTCCGGGCCGCCGGCCGCTGGCACGCGCTCCTGCAAGAGCCTCTGCGCAGCGCCGGGAGGCCGCGGAGAAGCTTCGCTCCACTTCTCAACCAGCCTTCCCCCAAAGGCGATCCGGGACTTCCAGCGGCAGAGCCTGGAGAAGCAGACCGGGGCAGCGGCAGGCGGCAGTGGCGGGGCACTTTGCATCGCGGGAGCTGCCAAGCGCCCAGGTCTGCAGCAAAGAGCGAGCCTCCTCCTTCTCCCCCACTCCTCTCT